GTTAAAGAGCTGTCTTTGTAACTATCAAAATGCATATATCTTTGCTTTCACTTCAGTTATATTTATGACAAGGGATTTAAAATTTGCCTATATTTCTGCTTCTCTGATGACATTAAAAACTTTCGTTTATTACAGTATCTACATAAAATTAACATTTATCTTCATTAGGTTGTAGTTCTCATCAATAGGGAGAGCGTCGGTAAAAAAAAAAATTGTTTAAATATAAATATCTTTCCTCTCTCAATAATATGCCCGAAACGCTATGCGTACTAGTGGCTTTAGGTATTGTATGTACTAGCTCTATCTATAAATCCAATATTATGTTTGTAAATCGACTATTTATGTACTTTCCTGAATAAAATGAACTTTACTAATATCTAATCTCTGTGACTAAAACGTAAGAACGACTTTATCTATGCCTTTTTGATAACATATACAATTATAAGCTTTATTAGTGAATCTCTATTAATTAAACAATATATCAGAGAGTGTGTAAGGTTCGGTGTTCCATGTGCGAAGAGACATGGGAGATTTTACATCAGTACAGTAAATGTTTTAAGTAGCGAACGCATACTAACGAATAACGATTAGTATAGACCAACACTATTGTTCTATGAAGTCGATTTAACTTCCAGACATGTATTTTTCAATAAGTCTTAAATATTTTCTGGCTAGTTATGTTAGATATTATTAGAAATACGTATTCTACTTGTTAATATAATAAACTAAATTTGCGATCATTTAAGTGTTATGTATAGCCTTCCAAGCTTGGTGTTCTATTTTAATGATTTCTGTAACACAATACTGTAGTTCATTAACTTTTAAAGTGTTGTGTATAAATTGTCAGTTATTATAAACTTAAATATAAATGTTGCTGCACATATCTTGGTTCAAGATGGAAAGCAGTGTAGCGAGTAGATTATCCCAATAATATACTCGCTCCAAATGCATTGTTAATATTCCTGTCAACCTTTGGAGATGAATGAGGTGAGGCGTTGCCCGGGCAACACGGTGAGGTGTTGCCCGAGCATATAAGCAACCAAATAGCCATATTTTTTTACACCTACATGCAGAGTTGCAGCTTTCCTGGTCATTAGTATTCTTTTTGCACTGGCCACACGAGATGATGTGCAGCAGGTGTGTCAAAAATGCAGCCTGCACAAAGGATACTGTAATTTGGTTTTTATAGTTTTTAAAATTTTCATACCTTCCTGAAAAGTTTAAAAACTTGAGAAAGTTTTTTTCTTTTGTTAAACTACTTCATTACTTTGCATTAATGAATGTGGCTAGCCGTTAAACCGTTTGTAATGCACATTATGTTTCAAGTACAGTACAGTAATAAAAATATTCTGCAATAATTTTTATTAAATGACTTCAATTAGTTGTGGTGTGTGGCTCTCATGACAACACAAATGTGACCCATATGGCCCTCGGGGGACCCTCAGTTTGCCATGCCTGCTGTATACTCTTCCCTGCCTATATTAGCCATGGTTGTCAGTAACCACTTAAACTGTGTTTCAGTACCAATTCATGTTCACTGTATTTTTCTATTAAATTTTCTTATATTTGTGTTATATCATGGTACTGTAGTATACTTGCCAGTTATACTGTATAATTTAATATAGTAACAATATGAATGATGCAAATTGCGATGAAAAACATACATTAGTAACAGAATAAATAACACAACTAACATTTCAAATGACATATCTGTAATGATTACTCGGATTTATTACGACTTGTATAAATGGGATCATAAGGAATTTAAATAAAGGAGGAACACTGTTCAGCAAAATTTCAAACCTTCATAATACCCAAAAATGTAAAGGGCTTTACTAAAATATAAAATATCTCAGTTAATATTTTCTCTGCATAGAGATGTTTATTTTTACTATTCTGCCAGATGCTCACTAAATACAGTAAGTAAAAGAAAAAAAGATGACAAATTGCTTTAAAATCTTGGTCCAAATACCCTACCAAAATTTTTTCTCATCACTGCAAAATTGTAATTAATGCACCATGTTGTTGTTTGACTCCACCAGCTTTACCAGGCTTGCTACAGGTGTGGCAGTGTTCAGTATGCCAGTCTAACCCAGGAGTAAAACATGTACAATGAAGTATATTTATTATGTAAACATATCAATAGTTGAAAAACACAGCCCACAGTCCAGTAATGATAGTACACATATATATATTTAACAACTATTTGGTCAAATGTACAAAAATATTCATGTTTTGTATAATTGATTTGATCGAAAGTCATTCTTAAAATATTAAAGTAGCTAAGGAACCCAACTTGTTCAAACAATCCTCAGCCTGATAAACACAATGTCTATATATGTACATATATGTGCTATACTAGGCCTAGGTATATTTAAGTTTGGTTTTGGCTTATTTTTTCATACACTGTACAAATTAATAATACAAAATATGAACATTGTTGGCTGCAATAGTTTATTTCAGTATGTTCAACCAAATAGATGATATAAGTACAGTACTATTATTTTATGAGGATGGGTTGGAAAATCAAATGCAGCACTAGTAAATCTACTTTTTTGTTATGCATTGGAAATTGTATTATGATTCAAGTGATAGCCACTCACATGGCTCTAATACATATGTGAAAGTCTGGCATACTGAATCAGTTGCACCTAAAACCTACTTATGTTGGCTTTATTTTGAGGAGTAATAAGTCTGCAGTATCCAGAGTAGTCTCGGCAGCGAATGCTCTCCATACATCAGAATTAAATTATGTCGATGCAATGTTCTATATAATGTGTGTTAATATAAAACATTGCATGTGCACAGGTAATTGTGCTTCATTGTAAATGCCTAAAAAGATGCTGTTAGTAGGAATTTTATATATTCTTATAGAACCGATAACATCCTGCTAGTATATAAAATTATGAATCTTCTAGGACTATCTATTAAACAAGCACATACAAAGGTATTTGAATGAGCTGTCAGTATTACAGAAATCTTCAAAACTTATTAACAAACCTTGATAAATACTTAAAATTTCAAGAACATGTATGTAAAAATGCATTCTTAATGGTGTGTGTGTCATGTGCAGGATATAACTAACATGTGTGCATGTATAATAGTTAGATAATGAAGAGTGTTAGATTCTGTGTTGACCGTTGCAATAGTTGAGGGCTACCTCTAATGTGGTTTGACAAAATTCGAGCAATACTTTAAGTTTATGAAATTACTGTATAGAGAAACTAGTGGTGGGTTTGGGGAAAAAATTACAAGTTTGGTACATCTTTCATTGAGAACATAAGTAATATGGATACTGCAGAAGGCATATTGGCCTATACAGTATAAATAGGAGCTGCCTCATGTGGACAAATAGGCCTAATGCAATTTCCTTAATTCATATGTTCTTATACATTAACATACAAAATTTGTTTATATAATTTGGGTGTGTAGATCAGAAAATGAGGCTTTATCCCATAGGCCCTTAAAAACAAAGAAAAATATATGGAGGTTATGAGAAAATAAAAAAAATTATGCAAAATATGTTCTAATATATTTTCATAATAATCTACATAATAAAAACAAATTTATCTGCAACAGTTTCAGCTTGTGCACAAACACAAAATCATGTAGGAGTGAATAAACCTGTCCCGCAAACCCTACTTGGGCCTGTGTCATGCATGTAATTCTACTCCCAAAGAATGTATTTACACCACTCCATCATATTATCATCAACTTATTTGCCCAAATTCATTCAAAGAGACCCTATTGTTATTACAAATAAGTAAAATATCATTAATAACAAAAAATTTAATATCCTGCCTCATAGTTGCCAGGGTTATGATGGGACGAGATAGGAGAGCAATGCGTTTCCCTTACCAGGCTCAGGTTGGCACTGATCCCTTTCCTAGTTCATCTAATAAAGTCACTCTGTGCTCAGAGATCTCTGCTGGTAACAGTCCTAACCCAACATTTGCAGATTTTATTTGCAGTGTGCCACATGTCCTGGTACTCACAGGCATGGTCTGCATACCCACAAAAAACCCAGTAGCGCTTGTGGATTAATCTAGCAATGGAAGAGTTAATACTAGTTAGATACTCAAGGTATTTACTAAATTTCAACTTAAAATCATCTTCATTTTTTTATAACACAAATAATCAGCATCTGGTAATGTCAAATAATTAGATATATAACTTTAGCACAGCACCACCTAAATGTTCTTCTCATATTCACTATTTTTTCACGTGCACTTTTCTTGTTTACACACATGGCTACCGAAGTATGGTTCCCAGCATTACTAAAGTATGGTACCTAGCATTACTAAAGTATGGTACCTAGCATTACTAAAGTATGGTACCTGTCATAGCTACCCAAGTATGGTTTTTGTCATTCCTACTCTAACATGGGTTTTGTCATTACTAACCAAAAATAGTTCCTATAATTACTATACTACATACTGTAAGAGCTCGCTAATCTGGAGTCCGCTGATCCGGAAAACTGTATCAGCTGGCCAAAATCGCCTCCGGATAAGTTTTGTATCCATATTCAGATGAATGTCCATAGGATCCGGATGACTGGCTGGCAAATAAGTCAAAATTTGAAGCCTAAAAATCTCTCCAAAACCAAGGGTTGACTTGCTGCCGAATATACAATGTGAACCTTTACCACTGAGAGATAAACAAGTGAAATGCCCGGCCTAACACTTGTTGTACACCACCACCACCAGGAAAAAGAGGGCTTCAGGCAAGCAGGGAGGCTGAAGTGGTTGTTGGGTGTGCTGGGAGTCAGGAGTGGTTGTGTGTGTGGTGGGCATCATGAGTGGTTGTGGTCAGTCTTTGAATGTCGTGTATAATTACCTAAGTGTAGTTACAGGATGAGAGCTATGCTCGTGTTGTCCCGTCTTCCCAGCACTCTTTGTCATATAACGCTTTGATATTACTGACAGTTTTGACCTCCACCACCTTCTCGCCTAACTTATTCCAACCGTCTACCACTCTGTTCACAAAAGTGAATTTTCTTATATTTCTCCGGCAGCTTTGTTTTGTTAGTTTAAATCTATGACCTCATGTTCTTGAAATTCCAGGTCTCAGGAATTCTTCCCTATCAATTTTATCAATTCCTGTTACTGTTTTGTACATAGTGATCCTATCGCCTCTTTCTTCTTGCTTCCAGTTTTTGCATATTTAATGCTTCTAATCTCTCCATGTAGCTCTTGTCCTTCAGTTCCAGCAGCCACTTAGTGGCATGTCTTTGCACCTTTTCCAGTTTGTTGATGTGCTTCTTAAGATATGGGCACCATACAACCGCTGCATATTCCAGCTTTGGTCTAACAAAAGTCATGAACAATTTTTTAGTATTTCTCCATCCAAAAATTTAAAAGCAATTCTTTGTATCAGCATGTGGATGTCTACATTTATCAGTGTAGATAGACAAGAGTGCTGGGAGTGGCGCGGTGTAGACAGACATGTAGAGAGTTCTGGGAGTGACGTGTGTCACTGAGGAGCTGTGACTCTCGCGTTAACCCTAGGGGTGGGTGGCGGTCAGGGAGGGTAGGATCGGAGGTGGCTCAGTTGTTTAATCATATATTTTTTTTTTTTTTGCCGTGGAGAGCTAGTTACGAATATTAAATAACACCATAATATTTGAACAGTATTTGGTTGGCTATTTATTCATTTAAATATTTAAAATAAAATAAGATGGGTATTAACACAACTTAAGCTGCATATTATGTTATGTCATCATACAGTAAGTGTTAACACTCGTGGGTTGAGTTGGGAAAGGCTTGCTTGAGAGTGGGGGGGGGAAGGGGGTTGAACAGGAAGGAGATGTTGGATCATCTGTTTGTCTTTTCAGTGTTGTGTCTTGTCTGGCAGTCTGTGGCACAGATTTTGTGCAGCTTGACAGCCTGTCTAGCATGTCAGCATCTTGACAGGCTGTCTAGCATGTCAGCATCTTGACAGCCTGTCTTCCCAAAAGAGCTGGGAGGGGGAGAATGGGAGTGTGGCATTGGTAGGGAGGGGGAGGATTGGGTGATGACATGGGTTAGGAGGGTGATGGGTGGAGGGAGGGTAAAGGTTGGGTGTGGGTGTACTGTATAGAGGTAAGGGTAGGGAGAGTGTCACCCACCCTCCTGCCTGTGTGGCCACATGCCTGATTGCCTGCCCGCCCATCCAAATCTGCCTGCCCACCCACCCACCTAACCTGTTCACCCACTCACCTGCCAACCACCCAGCCCACTCACCCACCTGTCTGCCCACCCACATACCAGCCAGGCAGCTAACCACACACTCAGCTCCACACACCAATTAATGTGTAGAAATTCATATTATGTTGGTTGTGGTACAAAAAATTGTGATTATGTTCACTTTTGGACTTCCCGGTAAAATGTCTGTTAATCCGGATAATCGGCCTATCCAGATGGGGGTCCTTTCCATATAGTCCAGATTAGCGAGCTTCATCAGTAATTGTTTTTTGTAATTACTACCAAAGCATGATTCTTGTCATTCAAGTTACACAAGTCTAAGAAATATGAGGTAATGGAACATCTCTCGTCTTGAAAATTAAACAAATGATATCAACCTTCCTATATATAGAATATAAATGTAACTCATTGGTTCATAAATAAATGGGATGAAGTAAATACAAAGGAATAAGATGCAATGGCTTAGGCAGAATATCCAGTATGAATTCTCAGTGCACACACTATATCTGGTATCCTAAAATTACTCTATATATTTGTTGACTAATGAACACCAGCAGACTCTCAGCTAAGTTAAGCAATGACAGTCCTATTTATATGAAGGATACAAAAGAGATACAATAATTGTTCACTGAAAAAATGGTGAGGTGGCATAAGCCCTGTACAGACTCCATGGGTTCTGAAGAACAGAGTGAAGATACAAATATAGGATTTATATACAGAATTTTGCCCAGGATTAGTTGACAACAATTACTAAGACCATAATACATAATCAAAATCCAAACATTTGAAACTAAGCAGAGAATTTTTTTTTTGTAATTTACATATGTTGGACAAAGTACACAAAGCTAATGGTGAAAGCAGTGGCACAACTTCATAAATTAGAGCAGCACTTTTTCAAATGCATGGATCTTGATTACTTCTTTATGAGCCATGACAACTATCCTCAAGTTATTATATAGAAATTTACAAAAGCACAGCTACAGTACATTGAGGGGAGGACCTTGTATTTCAGCTCTGGAGCCACCTTGTATTTAAGGATCCTTGGGGGCTTAAGAAATATCTGTACATGTGAGATTGGAAGACCAAATTGATGAAGTATTCACAACTTGTATCAATTCATTGATTAGAACTCTGACCACACTGTATAGTCAGCATACAAAACTGATCAAATTTTCATCCTGTGCATTTTAACACTACACACAGAATTTGTATTGTGTGCACCTTAAAGTTCAACAGCAGTATAAAATAATAAGACTAATGAAAGATTTTCCAATGCAGTGATTAAGATGACAATGACAGTGAAAAAGTATATTTTGTATATATCCTCAGGTGAAGGCTTCTGCATTAAACTTGATAGTACCAACTGCATGTGGAAATAAAGGTAATGAACACGCAGAGTACAGTACTCACAAGATCATACATGCTCCACCTCCCTCAAAATTTGTTTGAAGCATAGAGGTAGTGGCTGTAAGTGCAATTCTCTAGATTTTAATTCTTGTTAAAAGTAAAGTTTAATTTTGAGACAAAATTCTTTTATTAGATATCAAATAAGAAGTTCTAAGTGAGTCACTGTATCACTTAAATGTCATGAAGGTACTTGTAAGTAAATTAAATATTCTAACAATCAGTTTAATTATATTTGTTACTGAAAATAAACTAGTGAAGTCTCTTGTTAATAGAAACATATTCGACACAATATGTGGTAATAAAATAATGTTTAAGTCAATAAATAATGACAGAACATTTCATGGAAAGCCAGTATATCATACACCATATGTACAGTATGTGTGAATATATGTGTGTGTATGTATAAATATATGTGTATATACGTATAAATATGTGTATGTATTGCTACAAGGCATGGTAAGCAAGGACCATTTGTCAAACAACCTAGGCAGTTTTGTATATCTTGAAGTGTTTCTTTTAAAAATAGCTCCCCGTAATATTGACATTATACTGACGTCATAAAGTTTTAAGTTAGGCCTAGATTTACCCATGTTAGGTAGTATTGAGGAATAATCAGCATACAGTATTTTGGTTAGGTCACATTGCCATGTTAATTTTGGATAAAATAGAAATATATAATATCTTCAATACCTAATAATTGTGTTTAATGATTAGACTTTAAATTAATTATTTGTGCCTTAATAATCAATGCACAGAATATAGTGAACAAATACTTAAGATGCAATGAACCTTGCTTACTTTACTACCAAACATAAATCTTTTCTATACTGTATTTCGTAGTTCACTTGATAAGGATGTTGAAAATTAACCCATAAAAGTTAATTTTAGACTTTCAATGACCTGGCACGTTTCACTAAGATAAAATTTTGTATCCTCAGAGGTAGAAGGACTGTGAATACAAAAGAGCAAGCACATCAATATATATTTCATGTGTTTTGAGAAGCAAGGTGGTTAGGAGCCCTGGTCAGAGACCGGGCTGCAGGGACCTTGACCCCCGAAATGAAAGCAAGGTAAGGTAACCCTGTCAAGAAGACCAGGTAATCTAGTCCTGGGGGAAATGGGGGTGGGAGGGTGGGTTGTGTGTGTGTGTGTTGACGACATATGATATACTGCCCACATGAATGTGAGATTTTTCGCACTATTAGGTTGAGCAGAGATAAGGTAAATGTGTCTCTCTGAGCCAGTTATCTCCAACTAAACCAGTGAAGACATCTTCGGGGAGGTAATCTTCTATAACCTGGATATGGCAGTCCATCAAACAATAAAGCTGGGGCTCCATTAGTATGTTCGACTAATACAGCTTAGTGCTAGGAATAATTCAAAATTTGTGACTAGAAATCTACAATAAATACTTCTAAATGTATGCTATCCTATGGGCTGAGAGGGTACCCACCAGGTGTTTAAACAATTTATCACCAGATTAATAGTATGACAGACTACCACATATAGGCATTAGTTAACCTGACTTTCAGGATGGAAATCTATCTACAGCACAACAGCACAATGTTAGTGGAAGCCCAGGGAACTGTCAAAACTGCTATGCAGGTATGATGGGGAATTTTCTTGGAAGGCAAACACATCTTTGAGAGAATGAAATGCAAGGTGTATAAATCAGTTGCATGCATTTTATATTCCAAATATGATAATTTTGAGTTGAAAGATGCATTTGAGAAAATGAAATTTGGTTTTGTCAAAATACTGTATTGACAACGTATAGATTTTCTAACTTGAAATGTTTTGAAATCATTTCAATTTAGAATATGCCATTATATATCTGAATACAGCAATAAGTGTTAATTTAAAGCCCTAATAATATCTTATTTGCAAAGCAGATCATCCGCACAGGCAACTAGCCCATCGGCATCCCCAAATCACGCAGTTATCAACACTTGGATATAAAAAATAAAGCTGAACCTCTAATCAGCAATCTCTGGTGTAAGTTTTGAAGAAATACTAATTACACACTCATTTATAGTTTGAGCTGTGGCCACAAGAAAAATGGAAGATCACATGAGGACGTGGCAGAGGCAGATCCCCACGGACTCGCTACAGAATAAATGCAAGAGGAGTCGGTGGTCTTCATCCCTCGGACACTTCTGCCTGCCACCATCCATACACGGTTTGTGGACCCAGATCAGTATATATACCAGAAATATCACATAGCAAGGCAGAGTAGTTATATTAGTCTCTACTAACCACCTGTCTTTCTACACTACGCACTCCTCTGTATCTCCTACAGTAATAGCCCCCCTACCCGTGCTGGATACTTTCATCTCAGAGACTAGGAAGCAACAAAAAGCAGTATCTTCAGCCATATTTGATGAGAGGATTTTTTTTTTTGGTGTCAAATATTCAAATATAGTAATATCTTCATTAGCTGATGATTATTAGTGAAGAATATTATATACATTAATTAATATGGATACTGAGATTTAAGCAGGTGTGTAAAGCTCTCAATAAATATAGTTGAAAATTTCTGCTAAGAAACAGTGAGTTCACAGAGATTAAAGTTATATATATTGTATATATAATTGTCAGATTTACAGTGTCCAGCAAACAATACAGACACACAATTATAAATCATCCACAGCAATTCTGCTAATGGACCAAAAATCTTTATCTAATTTATGATTTGACAAACACCTTGCTTAATACTCATTGTTTTTCTAAACCATTTAAGTACAATCTTTCCTCTTTGTCCATCATTGAAGTGTACCACACATTCCAAAGTTCTATATTCTCTAACAAATGTCATTCCTTGTAAAGTCTCCTATTTTACATAAACAGTACAACTCTCAAATATTCCTCTATATTAATAGCATTGCACCTCTTGTGTTTATAAATTCGTGCTCATTATCATTACACAAAACAGTACCACAATCTCTTATATTTTATTTGCATTATGATTCTTAATTGTGCTTAGCTCTATGGCCATTCATATAGTCCTTCCAGCGTTGGGCAGTGTTAGAAATTACAGGATCTGTATCAATGGATGCCAACAATAGTAGTTGAGTGATGTGGGTGGTGTGATAGTCCCAGCGTGCTCTATTAGGAGCTACGTGAGTTGTGAAGTGGCGTAGATCATAGAGGGAACCCCATCCTGTGTCATACAGGGGTAGCAGTTTTTTTAGAGACTTCATGCCATCCTCAAACAAATCTCTACTGTTGTTATTTGACTCTCTTCTGAAACAAGAACAGGAGAATTATAACACTGCTGAGAAGGTCAATGGGGCGAGATATTTCTCTAAAACATGCAGAAGTAGTGTGTTAGGAAGGAGAGAATAATTTATATTTTTGTCATTGACAATGTATTCATGTGGAGTACTTTGCACCTAGTCAATGATGCAACAATATGCAGTTAGTGTGGTGCAACATGGATCTCCATGATGTTCTTGCCTTTTTAACCCTTTGACTGTAGTTAAATAAAAATTTACCCCAGAATGCAATTAACAACATGGGTTCACATGCCTAGAAAAACTTTTAAAAATCATGTAATGTTTGACCAGGTCCTTTTGGCCTTCAAAACAACACATACAGGAAAATAGGAGCCAAATTAATGCTTGCCTGTTATTTGTGACTAAAATGTATGACCTGATAATGAGTTACCGAAGTAATTTTTATGTTATATAATGATTAAAAATGTTGTATAAAGAAATTTGCTTGATCTTATTATGAATTAAATTAAATACTGTTAAAGAAAACCAAAATAAAGCCTCTCCCACAAAAATAAAAAATATACGTATGTAAATAATAAAATGCCAGCATTGAATGTAATGAAATGCCTTTTTCTGGGGATAGCCGCTGAGGCTCCCTGAAGCTATCCAAACTGATCGATCTGCTGGTAGAGGCGAAGCCGTGGAGAGACGCCTGGGTTTGGACACCGAACAATCAACGCCTGAAATCAAGGCTGGGCTGGCCACCATGGAGCCAGGAGAAAAAATCTGGCACCTCTCGTAAAAACGAGAGAGGTGCCAGATTTAAACTGAAAGACAAACAACGAAAGTTGTAAGCCTGTCGCCCCACCTGGAACCCCAACCAATCCCTGACCCATGGAAGAAGAGGCACTTGCCAATAAGCGATCCTGGAGGTCCAGGAATATCATCCAAGCCCCCTGCTCGAGAACGAGCCAGACCTGGGCTAACGAGGGGCAGGGAAGGAGGTTGCCCCCACAGACCCAACCCCCCAACTGGGGGGATGATCTACCCTATGTCACCAAAGACCGGAAGAAACTGAGGACAAACCCTGGTGAGACTAAACCGTTACAGCCGAGAACGGCACCCCAAGAACACCAACAAATTAGAAATAGGACAGCAGCTAGTGGAAGCTGCCGACAAAAACTGAGCCACCAAGTCCTCAGGGAAGAAAAAGAGGATAAAAGGGCAACAAAGACTGTAGAACCAGGGCAAATGCCGATTCCAAGGAGAGAGTTAGCACAGCCTGCCAACAAGCATGCCCCGGTCGATGGTGTAATATGACAAGACTTTACATGTAGAGTGCTCATACGCCATTGCTCCCTGCGGAGGGGACCAGGTTCTGACTCGTGGTCCCTGTTAGGCTAAGAACTCCAAGTAACTGATGACCCCAAACTAATAAAGCACATAATCAGTTTGGATAGCTTCAGGGAGCTGACAGAGCTCCCCCCAGAAAATACCAGTATTTTATGTTATGTCTTTAGGACTTACCATGGGTTTAGGTTACTTGGACCATATAATCTGACAAAATCTGCCATGATATATATAAAAGTTAGAAATAAGTAATACTGTAAATATAATACTAAATATTAAAAACCTTAATTTATATCCTGTATATAGACAAAAAGTATGGGCAACATGATTAAAGTAGATAAATGGATGAAATAGGATAGAAATTTGTTAAGCTTAGATTCTTAAGAATAAAGAAAGACGAGAGCGCTACCACACCGGAACCGAGAAGCTGCCGCAGCAGCACCATTATTTTTGTTTTCAATAAATTTCTAATAGCATAACTGGAAAGAGTAGGATTTTCTCGTAAGACATAAGTCAAAGTGAAATTTTAAAAAATGTAGTCATTTGCTGCCTTTTTTACCCTGTCCAGAAAAAAGTTTAAAAATGGGTATTGTAGCCAAAAGGTTAAAGGAGTGTGAATGGTATAACACCTTGAATACTATTTTTCTAATATTAATATCTTCTCTAGGTACATGGCTAGTCCACCCTCACTGTGAAAATAGGAAATAGGGTATTGATGAGGATGATGAAAAATAAAATACTAATACATTTTAGCACTATTACTGTGAAACTTTTTGGGACAAATCACTTCCCAACAGTACAACCATTACTGGTCACATTCTTACAGCTTTCTAAAACTGAATTTTACAGTTTAATCACTATACTAAACAGATTTAAACTAACTTTTAAATATTTGTTGGGTACTGTTCTATACTAAACAACGTAATCATGTAACTCTGTACAGTATATAATATTTATTTCACCAAGGAAGAATTTACTTATTTCACAAACGTCTACATCGAAAGAAGTAAGAAATTATTGCTATAATTACCGTAATGTATTTCACCAAGGGACTACAAATATTACTCAGTATTTTCACTGTAAAACTCACAAGGTTAGAAACTGTTAACTCTTCAACTTGAGTCAAAACAATAAGAATTGTAACCGGATGTTTTGCTCAGCAGACCTTTGTCTTGAGCACATGTCCAATGTAATGTTTAGTATCAGCCAATAATAAATTCAAAATTTTTGCAAGGCTGCCATAACATTTTGTAAACAATACAAATCAAGCATTTGATAAAATGTATTAATTTCTATTACAACAATTAGTAATGATCATCATCATTAATGTACAATACTTACGAGAATTCTTTTAAATCGTAAAGGCCCAAAAGACTGTAGATGAATCCATTGAGTACAAATAATGATGGGTTTGTTGGATACTCTTCATACCACACATATCCTCCAGGGAAGTAGGTCCGCACACCTCCTGTTTGAAAATATCAGAAACGAGTCTTTGAGAGTAGAGCCCAAAATATCCGAGAGTTAGAAATATGTCTCAAGGTAATAAATTTCATTTTATGGAATGTGTGATGTTTAAAAAACTGAAATAAAATGTTAAGTTATGAGAACTACTGTCTCAAGCTTTGAGAGAAAATTATTCCATATTTAAAATTTAAAGTAACTAATTCAAGTCCTTTAAAAGGCATAGATCTACAGATAAATATTATTTCATCTTATAATTATGAGGTAAGTTACTTTAAGTTATAATTTTATAGTCTTGAAGACAAGAAAACTATACAAAGCTAAGTATAGGTATACTAGATATGAATAATCATGCTTTACCTCGAGTTGCATTGACATAAAACAGTGCAGTGGCTCGTATGGCAGCCTTCAGATATTTTGCATCACCAGAATGATGTGCGGCTCGAACAAGGAGAGACATAGCTTGTCCTTGAGCCATGGCTGAGTACCAGCCAGCACCAAGTTCCAGCACCCCACTGATTACCTGCATCAATACCAAATTGAAATTTTTATTATAGTCATGTGAATGGAAATAAACACGTTAATAAACTTGCTAACTAACAAGAAAATCTTCACTATACATCATCTATTCCACCAATATGACTGTACTATATAGCAATGCTCAAATTTTCTTATAGATATATCAAATTATTTTGATTTCACTGTGTATTTACTACTTATGTTTCTTCTATCACATCCTAACATGTGAGTTTAGGTTCCTTAGGACTACCATTAGAAACAAATTACTGGAATTTCCTTGAGATCAGAAAGTGGACAAAATTATAATAAAACCAAAGCAATTGGCTCTAGTAGTTAAATTTACATGTTTAACCATAATTATGGGATTATGCTTAGCAATTTCTACTGGTCTAGGGCTGGTATTTATTTTAATTTAAATCTACTGCATGTACCACGTATCATTATAGGCGTTGTTACTGCACATTACCTTTCGTGGAACAGGGATGGACCAACCCCCCTGCTCGTCCTGATGCTTCAGAAGCCAATTTGCAGCATCATAGAAGTGATGCAGATGCTCTGCTGAAGCTAAAGTAATGTTGGTTACACTTCCTTCCCCGTGCAGTGAAAGTGACACCACATTCAGTTTTGATCTTGAAACCTGTAAACAAATTACTTTAAATTATAACAACTACCTATAATATGCTACATTTGACATTGCTCATCTCATGTCTTTTTGCTCTAGTATTGGCATCCTGGGTGATATTTAGGACTTTTTGAATATCCTACAACATGGACTGTGCTAAATAATCTTTCCGGCTTGGTGAGTAGACAAATAAGAAACTATTATTTCTCTTGCTCAATAATTTTCAAACACATATAGTGCATTTTATGAAGACTAAACCACACACCAGAAGATGAGAAGACAAGAACTTTTTGGTCCATCTTGGACCATTATCAAGTCGACTGTGGTCCAGGACGATATGGTTGTCGATGGTCCAGGACGGACCGAAACGTTGTCGTCTCCTCGTCTTCTGGTGTGTGGTTTAATGTTCATATCTTCAGCCACATTACTGTGACTCATCGTCTGCATATTGTATTGCATATATATAAATACAGGTAATGTACCTCACTTCACTAAACTAGAATGTTTCCACTCAATATGTTTCTACAAAACCTGCCAGTGACTAGGTGGATGGACTCTTGATCCCAGTAAATTCCCACCATCCTCTACTCTCACTGTTCTGTATTAACATCCTTGTGCACATATATCTTAGCTAATGGTAGCTAGGAAGTACTGGCATTACAGAACTCAAATGCTGTCAGTTGCATGTGCTTTTTGAAATAGGAATGAGAAAGGAGGTCTTCCTCATGCAAATTAAATACCTATTGTAGTCCATATGTAAGACAAGTTTTATATATAAAAAAAAATAAAAAACAAAAACCAGGGTAGAAATTCATAATCTTACCTTCTTAAATTTTTTGCGCAGAGACGGAGAAGAACTTGCTCCCTTGTGCACATCAATAAGAAGATTGCGAGTAATGTGCCGCCATCCTTGCTGTTGCTCCCCAAGACCATAGTATATTTGTCGATCCTATCCAATTGAAAACACAAAAATTAATGCCAGCCAGACAAAAAAAAAAAAAAAATAAGACTGAGTTAATCTATATGAAAAGTTCCTTTTTGAGCAGATAATGCAGGTGCCTGCTAAGGCAAGATCCTATTGTTATGAATCATGAACAATAATTCCTTACTGTTCATGATCAAAATTTTAATTGGCATAGCATTAAACCTTTTAAATGTTCCTGCCAGGTCATGATAGTATTAGTGAGATAATTGAGAACATTCATTCCAACTCAGAATGACCTGTAGAGTTATTAAAATTGTTTAAAAAACCATCTAAGCCTTACTTTGCATCACAGGGACTTTCAAGTACATTTTCACCATCAACAATAGGACCCTAACCTGACCAGGTGGTGGCACCAACTCTACATTCCCTACCCCTGAGCCTGCCCACATGATCCCTCATACAAATACAACTGCACACAAAGTAGGATGTGTTTGGAGAGAAGCTTTTCATATTTTCTATTAACACGACTATCATCTCAACCACAAATCTGGTATTACAGTGTAATACAAGTTACACTGTTACAAGTACGAAAGTACAGTCCACCATAGAGCTGATAATTTCTAACAAGTAACAGGACTCAAAAGAGGGTTTATAAGACTCAAAACAGAGTGAAGCAAGTCATCTAGACACTGCACCCAAATACCAAACTAAGAGAAGCACCTTGGCTATGTATTTTTTAACACACTTCTGTATTTTATTCTTTGTAATATTTGTTTACAGTTATTTCATTGGTATTAGATATTTTTGGTAGGTTATGATTTCAAAAGCTGATACTTACTGTACAAAACTACCCCTAGGTGAAACATGCTGATTTGTTCAAGGAAAACTCTCACAACATAATGACAATGGTTAATGTACCTTGACCTGAAGTAACTTGTCAGAGCGGATATAATAAACCGTCACCAACTCCATCTTCTTATCCTTAAATTCAACTGTAACAGAAAAGCTGGCATTCCCATGTAGCAGAAGATTGAGATTTAAGACCAACATATTTTGTGTGGGGACTTTAGATAGCTGCAACGTAGCACCACCCTTTGAGTAGGATTCTGTTGAAGTAAAAACCATGTTCAAATGTCAAAACAATAAATGTAGAAATGACATTTGCAAAAATAGCCAACAAATACAAATTTCAGATATTTGAGTTAATGAAAGAGCAAAATGCATTGTATTGTATATGTCTGAACCACTATGAAGTGAAATAAAGTTTATAGGCCTATTTTGCATATGATCTGGTAAAGCATATATGATGAATTATATTTGTACATAATATCCCCAGTTTGCTAACTGTAGGTAGTAACTGAGAGATTGTAACCTATCCACCGCTGCCCACTGGATGGGGGGCGGTGTGCAGGATAAACATATCAATTGTCTCTAGCTCTCCCACATATGTCAGTTGCTTAATTTAGAAACTGTACTTGTGGTCAATCTCGAGCCCATTGATGATGTGACGATGTGTATTGAATTTTGTAACTAGCTCATCAAGATTGTAACTGGCTTAGCTAAATGAATTGTGGGGTTCAGTCCCTGAGCCCATTATGTGCCTCTGTAACCCTTTCCACTACACCCCACAAGATGGGTATGGGGTGCATAATAAATGAACTAAACTACATAAATTAATACAGTACAATAACTAGTCAAAGACTCATCAAGGAAGGGAAATGAAATGCTTCAGAATCACTACATACAAGGATGATAAAATACTAAAGAAATTGTTTACAACATTTGTGAGACAGAAATTAGAAAATGCAGCTGTTGTATGGTGTCTATATCTTAAGAAGTATCTCAATAAACTGGAAAGGATGCACAGATATGCTACTAAATGGCTTCCACAACTGAAAAATAAGAGCTACAAAGAGAGGCCAAAGGTGTTAAATATGCTAAAGCTAAATCATAAAACGGAAAGAGAAGATATGATCACTACATACAAAATAGTGTTAGACATCAACAAAATTGACAAGGTATAATGTTTGAAACCTGCAACTTTAAGAACAAGAGGCCATAGATTCAAGCTAAGGAAACAGAAGTGCAAAAAAAAAAATATACAAAGTTCTCTTTTGCAAATAGAACTGTAGAAGGTTTGAACAAGTTAGTGTGAAAGCAAAGGGTGTCAAAACCATCAGTAGTTTCAAAGTATCATATGACAAAGATTATTGGGAAGACAGGATAACACGAGCATAGTTCTCATCCTGTAACTACACTTAGGTAATTAAGAGGATGAAAAACTATCAGACTGGTCAAGTGTAAATGTAAGCATTCCTTTAGTTTTTAATCAAATGTAGCAATACTATTGGCATCAAAATGTGACGGTGCAGCAGTGGCAGCCAAATACGTTACTGAATTAGAGGTACCCATCTGTGGCACCCACTATTGACCTGTAACACAGTACTGTAATCTGTGCAGTCAGCCAACAACCGACTGGTCCTGAATTCATATCCCTTGGCAGGTTAAAACATTTGGGCACGTTTCCATACACATGATGCTTATTTTCACGAGTCAAGAGGTACCTAGGATTTAGCAGACTGTTGTGGGAATAGCATCCCGGAGGGTAGTCAATCATTGCTTAGGGGGAAACCTTAATAAGCCTAACAGCAACCAAATGTGGCAGTGAACTAATGGCAACCAAGTGTGGTACTACAGTATACTAATGACAACTCATTTAGTGACAATTATAACCAGCACCTTTGTAATTGCTGGAAATCTGTAACTAAATATATATGGTACAGAAGCTCCTTTTTGTTCTTGCTCCCAGACGCAGGTTCGAATCCTCGTCACTGCCCTTGTGGATTTGTTCATTTGATGCATCACGTTAGTGTGATCTCTGTGTGTGTTATCCTAAATCCAGTTTTAAATCAGTAACATTTACTGATGAAAAATATTCTATAATTGCCAATATTGTATATCAGTCTGTAAAAAGTTAAAAGGCGCACAAAAATACAAATGTCAAAGTGCCATATCTGTTGATGCACACAAAACATAACAAGAAAACAAAGATTAACTTCATCATATGTAATGGCAGTATTGAGTATGCAGTATATGCTTACCTGGTGCAATAAATATAAATTTATATAATATGTATTTATATATAAATATATATAATATATTTAATATAATATAATTTAATATAATAATATAATATAATAATTAATTATTATAATTAATTATAATATAATATAATTTAATATAATATAATTTAATATAATATATTTAATATAATAAATATGTATAATATATATATAATATAATATAATATGTATTTATATATAAATATATTTATATATAAATAAATATATTTAAATATAAATATAAATATATAAATATATATATAAATAAATATATTTATATATAAATGTATTTATATATAAATAAATAAATAAATAAATAAAATATAATGTGTGTGCTTACCTGGCGCCTTAAACTTTAGAACATTAGTGTGAGTCGATGGATCCAGAACTCTAAACAATTTAGAGCTTGGCCCCTCCACTTGCCAGACTCCCTGATGCTCCCCACCATCTTCTAACATTATTCTGAAATGCATAATGTGGGCATCTTTGAGAAAGTTTGAAAAATGTTTCGGACATTGACAAAGATTGCTTAAATATCTAAAAATATTATACACTTGGACATGATTAAAGAGAGGGAAACTGAAAACTTTTTACTATTAATTATTTTAATTATTATTATTATTATTAAAGAAGAGTACGTAATGTTAAATTGAAGTGGTTGTAGACAAGCAAAATTGAGTTAACTGTTACCTGTACCCCTATGCTCTAACAGCTGTCGACTTAACATGATATTTCTTCACCATTTTGTGCCTTGTATTTACTTAATGTATTTTATATTAACAGAATTTGTGAAATAAATATTGAAGTATTCAAACATGATTATATTTATCTGAATTCACCTGAAGGCCATCATCTCTAGTGACATCAACAGGAATAAGAAGCCAGTACAGTATTTATTACTTCGGTGGATAAGAGACAGTGCATGGGTTTATTACCCCTATGGCTGGAAAAACATCTCCTCTTGTCTGTCTTACATTGTAGTTTGCTGAGCCGTTGCCACTCTTATGTGACTTCAATTGGAATTTTGAAAGAAGTGGTCTGGGTGTATGTCTTCTATCTTGTTCAATATTTCAAAGGTCTCTGTGATCAGCCCCGCCATGAATTGTTTGCAGAGTTGTTAGACTTGAGGCCAGCTTTTCCTAGTATTTGATCTGATTTCCATCACTCAGTATTGCACTTTTTCTAATGTAGTTTTATAACGTGTTTTTGTAGGTGAAGTTTCTATTCTTTAATTTAGTAGTTCCGGTTGGGCTGCACAAGTTATTTCTTTTCCTTGAAGTTAAAGGCAAGTTTGATTTTATTCCTAGGGTTTAGTTTACTAGTTTACACTGCAGCTCATATTTGCTCCCAAGTTATATCCTTTTCCAATTTGGTGCAATGTCATGCTGCCAATGTCGTAGCTGTGATGTGTATTGTTATGTCTTGCATGTAAGGTCTTGTGGTTTTTCAATATTGTAAAGCATTTTCCAGTCTTCTGACCATTTAAGTTTATATAGATTCCTTTGCAAGGCTGCAATAATGTTTCTGGTTCCCACTTTCCTATAGATTTTTGTATAATCTATGAATCCGATGATGATGGTAATGTTATCTTTAATATCAATGCAGTATTCTGCTCAGAACATTTTTCCAGTATGATTCTTTTCCATTTAGGATAACAACTTTGCTTTCATTTTTTAAATCATTGTTTTATCCATTCTAGTACTTTATTATTGATTCCATGTGGTTGTAGTCTCTGGGCCAGTCTTTCATGTGGTACCTTATCAAGAGTGTGAATATATTTTGCATAATGGGGATATCCATTAACTCATTTTCTTGTGCGGCAACACACCTGCAGGTGTTGGGATGTGGTCTAGTCTTTCTAGTGCCATCACTAGTTTGAAGAACTTGGTTTAAGACTGTGCTGTACTTCTCTTAACTCACAAATGACTTTAAATTCTGAACGTATATCTCAACTAATTTTGTAGCTTTAATTCCTGCCCAAAACACTATCCATTTTAGTGAATTTGCAACAATGTACCAATCCAATAAATTACGAGTAGACCAAAATTGTTACAAAACCAACTGTGCCTTCTAATAAAAATACATCAATATATTATTCTGTATACTATATAATATTGTAGAGTAACCACTTACCTCTCTGGTGGGTTTTCAGTGAGATGTTTACAGTAATGAGAGAGACCAAACTGTGCTATCTGGATGGGGTAGGTGTAGCCTGAGCTCTGCCACTGAGTGGATATTGGCACTCCTGGGAAAATATATTTGCAAATACAGTCTTTGTTATGATTATAAAGTATATTTCATACAGTAAAATACATGAACTTGCCATACACTGGTACCTGGATCCATGTTGTAATATAAAATAATAGAAAAATACAATAATTATCTGTAGATAGCTGGTTAACTTGCATCCAGTTCATAAATTATTAGACTAGCAAAGCTTATTCATGAAAACAATAGTTAGTAGTACATATAAATAAAATAATACTGTAGAAATGTCTATATTGGGGGGATATATTTAGTTTGTTGGTTACAACAAACCAAATGTTGTGTGTCCTATTGATTTTCTGCTTTAAATTTAATTATCTGCTATGTCTCCTGACATTAACAATGCATCTATTATTGTTATTAAATTGCAACACAAGATTAATTTAAACTCACTGTGAAACTAAAAGTTTCACAGTGATTCACTCAGTATTACATAATAATGGGCCTAACTATTTTTATTATAAAGTATATATTTTAAAGTAATAACTAAAATATAAATAAAAATATTATGCAGTATAAGGGAATATTCTGATTTTGTAAACTAGATTACTATAGATAAGTTATAATTACAGTAAAATAATTGGTTATTATATTGATTTTTATTGAATTTAGACTATGTACAGAGTACTTAAAACTTGTAAACTAAGTCAATCATAATTGTACAAGCATTTATGAATAAGTGTCGAGTTTGAATGACGTATTAAAGCTTAGTAATCAATTCAAGTACCCTCTTAAATATTTGAATGAATCATTGTTTATCCAAAACAATTTTCAATGTAAAGAATCAGACAAGTAGATTTACTCCATCTTTCACCATTGATGGATATGTACAGTAGTTGAATATGCTTTGCATTCCCACTCTTTCTTGAACCTAAACTGTAACCTCATTGGGTGTCCTTCACAGTGACCTGAGATCACTGGTTAAAAGTCAGCTTATGAGAAAATATAAACATTCTGAATTACCCAGTGGGTTATTCTAATCATAAAATTCTTCCTCCTTTTCATATTCATCACAAGTCACTGTCATCATCAGTGTTATGCTGATAAAGAAAGTCATTACCTTCAGTCCCAGAAATACACTTGACCCTCTCCCGAGCCTCAACATTATAAAGCTCAAAGTTGAGGAAGGTTCCTGTAGGGTCATAGGTCCCCTGGGGCTGATACACTCGGCTGTAGCTATGGGACCATTCAAACACCTCTGTTCCATCGGGCTTCTGTTCCAAATGCCCATAAACCTGAAACGAAAGTACACTATTTTATTACCCCAAAGCATTTGTTACACCTTACTGCATAATACACATAAGCGGGATGGAGCAAATATAAAGTTACCGAATTCCCACCGGCTCATAATCAAGGCAACTGCCAAAGCAAACACATAATTAACACGTACATTAACTGTGTGCTGGTCATTTTAAAGTGAAATGATTAATGGGATAAAGGAGATGGTTGAACTTATATCCTATTATAAACAAATTGAGATTAAATAAGAATGTAATGTGCAAGATGAAACAGTAAACGAGAATTATCAAAATAATGGTAGGAGAAGAAAATATGAGGAGGAAGATGAAAATACACAAGAAAGCAATTTAATTTCTCTCCCCCACTGTCCACTCTTCTTTCTCATTCCCCATCACATATCCTTCTCTCTACACCATCACAAACCCATTTCTCTGCACCATCACACTCGTTTCTCTGTAACAACACACATACATAAAAATATTCACAATATAGAACTGTAGTTACACACAACTTAGGCATTAAAAATGTTCAAAAATCAGGATCTGCAACATCCTCAATTGTTTGTGTTCTTTTTTTGTGATTGTTGATACACCTTTTGCCACTTTAGCACTCATAATGTCCTTTTTCTTAGCAAGTACAGTGCATGTCATTGACATAGATTTGTTGTACTGCCTTGCTAGTTCAACAACCCGTGTATCATTTTCATGTTTACGAATGATCTCTTGTTTTTCCTCTATGGTCATTCTCACATGTTTTCTTGGCTTGAACCTTACCACTGGCTTTCTTGGGACCCATGGCGAGATATATAATAACAACTTGAATGTTCAAATACCCAAAAATAAAAAAAACTAATTCTTTACAAAGAATTCAGGCGCGATTGTCACTAGGTGGGAGGCACTGGTAAACTGAGGCGTGATCGCCGTGCCACCACGCGCTAGGTCAGCTATATGCACATCAACAAACCCGTTTCCCGGGGCAAAGTTCGTAACCCGATTCAAATTTTCCAAAGAAATTGGGCTCATGATCCGAAAAGTTCGTAAATATGGGCATTCATAAGCCGAGGTGTCACTGTACACTGGTCAAGGTATTGGATAGGCTACATCCCAGAATCACACCGGATAGTTGGCAGGGGTTAGGTGGGTTGGAGGGGGGGCAAGATGGGGTAGCAGGGATGAAATGGGGCACAAGGCACAGGTAAGGGCAAAGAAGGACAGGGAGGATAAATCAAGGCTGGGTGGGTGTTAGAGGCATTGACGGTCCCTTAGGAACTCATTAGCAGCCGTGTGCCAGGCTAAGAGGCCACCGCCACTGTGTACCAGGGTAAGTGCTGCCTCTTTCTCGGTCCTTGTGTCCTCCTCAACACCTCTCTCTCTCTCTCCTCCAGCCAGCCTTCCCCACCCTTCCAGCCTTCTCTTCCCCACATTAATTATTCTTGAAAATTACCCAATTATCACTTTAATTTGATGGTTTTGTAGATCTAGTAATTAAGTTTTAGGAGTTTATATTGTTTTCCAAGAACTATGAATCACTGACTGAAGTGTGTCTACCTCCAGGTAGTTCATAATGAGTAGTTTTTCTCCTTTCTCCTTCCCCTCTTCCTTCATTTTGTATATCAGGTCACACTATCGCCCTTTTCTTTTCACACATTCCCCTTCATCTACTTCAAGCAGCCCCTCTTTTGTTTCATCTAGCCTCCTTTTCTCTCTCTCTCTCTCTCTCTGCTTCACAAAGCTCTCTTCCTCATTCTTACTCACAGCTCCTTAACTTTGCCCCTTGACACAACTACTATCATCTGGTCATGCACTCAACACAGTTCAAGACAAGGAACACAGAACAACTCAATAAAGCGTAAGTCCAAAATTAACATTTTGAATAAGGCTAAGAGAGCCAAGACCCATTACAATGCCTCTGCCCCCCCCCTACACCATCCACTATCCCCCCCCTACACCAACCACTATGCCTCCTACAACAACCACTATCCCCCTAAACTAACCACTATCCCCCCTACACCAACCACTATACCCCCCTACAACAACCACTATCACAGCACTAATTCCACATTTTACTTCTAGTAGATCAACAAAAAAATAACCTAGTAGATGGGGTACCCGGCAGTGCCCAGGTCGATCCCTAAAGATTTCATTCACCTGGGTACTAGTAGACTCGAACTGCTGACCCTCACGAGCGTGGGGCCAAAGCTCTAGTCACCATACTATGACTCAGCCCTAACAAGGAAAGGTTGCAGTATTTAAGTGTTGAGAGGCCACAGAATACAAATATGCCATCACAATATGCACTTTGCACCAACCCTAACTCAGAGGCAGTTCTCTGGCACCTCACATGAAAACTGTATTATCTTGTTGTATCCTGTTCACTCACTGGCAAAAATCAAATTTACATGATACATAGCCCAAGGAATATTAAAATATTTAACATTTTATGTTAAATGTTAAAATATTTTTGAATATTTTATGTTAAAATATCCTGTGTAGAGCAAGGAATGTTTAAAACATTTTACATACACTAAATAACACATGGAATATATTATACTGTACACTGCCCAGAAAATACATAGAAGAGGTCAGACTTGCCCACAACTAATGCTTTATACAATTCCTAGGACGACTGGTAACTAAACTTTAGCGGGCATGTATCTAGAGTCCTGGAAATGTTCTAGAATAGAGGGAAAGGCAAGTAGATATTTCGTTCAATTCCTGAGGCAGGTCTGGTATTCCAGCACATGGGGGTTAAGGAGTGAGGAGATGGTAACCACTTATAGTACATCCCTTGGTGTAGACATGATCACTCAGTTACAAGTCTTATATCTTTCTTTTTTTACTAAGACTAGGATTCATTGGGAAACTGAAGTTTCATAAGAAACAGTTCCTTATGAAACTGCAAGTTAAGAGGAATTATCCTACATCAGCTTATTTGAAGCCTGTCCCTAGGAACTCATTTTTCGTGAGCCTTCATAGTTATTATCAATTATGAATAACTAAAACTTAATGTTAAGTAACAATCAATAGGGAGAAGGATGTGTATTCTTCTGTATCTGGTCAGCTGTCTTCATATCATGTGTATCTGAATGTTGAGCACACGTGTTGCAAATGCGAGTCAACCTCCCTCTCACACACAGAGATCACACTAACGTGATTCTGCTATCACTAACGTGATAGGTGGAGATCGGGGAAAAGGAAATGTTAACACTGAGAGGACAAGTGGTGAGTACGAGAGTAAGACACGCAATTTGTTCAACCTCCTTCTCTCTCTGTCTCTCCCCCTATCACTCTTCCCCTCTCTCTCTCTCTCCCTCACACTAATCCCTCCCCTCCCTGCCAACATCTCCACACAATAGAGTCCTCTAGCCAGACAGGGCCTGTGTGCCCAGCGAGCTCCTTGGACCACACACAACGCTAAAGGTGTTGTTTTGCAAGACTGCCACTAACGACCTGCTCTTGTCATCAAGCCAATTAGGAGGGAGACTTTTAGGGACCTGAAACCCTTTATAACCGCCATCCTACCGGCCAAATACGTGTCTAGGAATGAGCAGTGGCCCGTCAACTAACCAGTGAGATAGCTGGAACTGGAGAAGGGAGCTTGCAAATTACCTAACTATTTGCTCGCTCGTTAGTGAGAGTTGGAGTTCGGGGGGAGGAGGAAAACAGGAGGCATATTGGAGAATGGAGAGTGAGGGAGTGTGAGAGAATGTTGAGATTGAGAACATAATGTTTGAGAAAGTGAAGAGTTGGAAGGAATGGGGAATTATCAGTATTTGGAAAGGGAGAGAAATGGGAAAGGGGAGAGAGGAAGTGTGAGGAATGAGGAAATGAAGAGGGTAAAGAAGCAGGCAGTGAGGAAGAGAAGGCAGAATGTGATGGGGAGGAGACCGGGATCCGTTGCTCAGAGAGGTTCACCAGCCTGTGTCCAAACTCCTCTTATTGCTTCCAGGAACATGGGGGCGGGAGTGACGCTGATAGGACACGGCTGGGACATGGGGCTGGGACTCGGGCTGGGACTCGGGCTGGGACTCGGGCTGGGACTCGGGCTGGGACTCGGGCTGGACCTCGGGCTGGACATACACAATGAGAGTAGCCGGACACGAGCACAGAAGGAAACGTGGAGCAGTGTAAGAGAGGAGGTGTAATTATATCCTCCATATTCTTCACTGGTAGGCCACCCCGGGGAAGAATATGGAGAATATAATATACAATCATCACGAAGGAAAACACTGATTAGGAATATCCAGATAAGTCGTTCTGACACAGCTTCAACACAGTGGAGATCGGGGGAAAGGAGATGTTAACACTGAGAGGACAAGTGGTGAGTACGAGGGTAAGACACACGTGGAAAAGATGAATGAAAAAACAAGATAGCATTAAATTATGGTGCGAGTGAGAGGGAAGAGAACAGGAGGAACATATTGAGTATTAGGAAGAAGAAAGGCGGTTGGGTAATAAGAGGGTAAACAAGGAAGAACAAAAACTGACGAGGATAAAGTCCAAGAGAACAAATAATGAGGAAGGAAGCACTAAAGAACAAAGCTGGAGAATATCAAGACAAGAGAGACTAAGAGACTGACCTCGAAGTAGGTGTGTAAGAAAGAGAACGGGACGTAGACTTCCTTGTGGTCTCTCCTGCAGGAGATCTCAGACTCGTGGTTGATGTTGCAGGCGATCTCCGTCAGCCGCTCGCCTCGACCTCCCTCAGGCGATGCTGGGCCTCCGTCCTGCCACACACACACAGAGTTAGGGTCGTGGGTCATTTACCTCACACACTACCACCATGGGGGAGTGGTTGGGGTCATTTACCTCACACACTACCACCATGGGGGAGTGGTTGGGGTCATTTACCTCACACACTACCACCATGGGGGAGTGGTTGGGGTCATTTACCTCACACACTACCACCATGGGGGAGTGGTTGGGGTCATTTACCTCACACACTACCACCATGGGGGAGTGGTTGGGGTCATTACCTCACACACTACCACCATGGGGGAGTGGTTGGGGTCGTTACCTCACACACTACCACCATGGGGGAGTGGTTGGGGTCGTTACCTCACACACTACCACCATGGGGGAGTGGTTGGGGTCGTTACCTCACACACTACCACCATGGGGGAGTGGTTGGGGTCGTTACCTCACACACTACCACCATGGGGGAGTGGTTGGGGTCGTTACCTCACACACTACCACCATGGGGGAGTGGTTGGGGTCGTTACCTCACACACTACCACCATGGGGGAGTGGTTGGGGTCGTTACCTCACACACTACCACCATGGGGGAGTGGTTGGGGTCATTACATGGTATCAGGGAAAGATTCAAAGATAATTTCTATCATCAATATGGCTACATGATTTGATCATTGGTAGTATTAATAAAAATGACTGTGTATACTTGAAATAATTATGATAAACAATGTAAGTTCACTCGTGGTCTGTGACCTGGGTGCCACCTGAGTGGTGCCATAACTTACCTGCTGGTGGTGGGTGTCCGAGGCACCACCGGGGCTGTACTCCACCTCCACATAGGCCTCCTCGCCTCCCACCTGCAAAAAAAGCCACGCCACTTTACACCTGCACTAAAAGTATCCCTTGACAAATGTTTACAATAATACCTGGGCGTTATGTGTACAGATGCCAGTGGGCGTCAGTGTGTGCTAACCTTCATATTATGTCTTGTAATTAATGGCAACATAGGCTGCAGGAACCCCTCCCCCCCACACACACACAGGTACAGAGGTATGCCACTAGACTAGTCCCAGAACTAAGAGGCATGAGTTACGAGGAAAGGCTGCGTGAAATGTATCTCACGTCGCTGCAAGACAGGAGAGCTCGAGGAGATATAATCACTACCTACACAATTCTAAGAGGAATCAATTGAGTAAATAAAGATGAATTGTTTAACACGGGGGGGGGGAGGGGGTTATGAGAACAAAGGAACACAGGTGGAAACCGAGTACCCAAATGAGCCACAGGGACGTTTTTCAGTGTCAGAGTAGTTAACAAATGGAATGCATTAGGAAGTTATGTGGTGGAGGCTGACTCCATACACAGTTTCAAATGTAGATATGATAGAGCCCAATAGACTCAGGAATCTGTACACCAGTTGATTGACAGTTGAGAAGGAGGACCAAGAGCCAGAGCTCATCCCTCGCAAGCACAACTAGGTGAGCACACACGAGTGATAACATCAACATACACGATATATGTACATAGGTTCCAGAATTGTGAGGCTCATACCAATAAGTTAATGGAGTTAGACCTCATCACACTTGAGAAAAAAAACAAATACAGGAGACACGACAACGATATAAAAGATCCTCGGGTGAATTGTTATGGTCGATATAAAGGAAATGTTCAATGTAAGAGAGTACAGAACCAGGGGACATGGATGGAATCCCAGGTGTAGTCACACGGATGTTCCTGTTTATTATAAGGCTTTAAGCTTAAGTTAGAGTGAGAGATGACAGTGGGAGAGATATTGAATTGAACTATCAGGGGAAAGTGCCAAGCCATTATGACTATATAGCACTTGGAAGGGGTCAGGATAAGGATTTGGGATGGGACGGGGGGCAGGAATGGTGCCCAACCACTTGGACGGTCGGTCCTGGAGTCATTGCTTTGGACAACCAGGAGCTGATAAGCTAATTCCGGAGAATTCTTGTCGGAACTGCATACTGGAGAGTGTGTCTCATACGGTGACACCCACTCTCAAGACTTTTATTCCAATTCATTAAATACCGCTGATGTTATTGTGTTGGCATTAGATGTGGGGGTTGTGTCCACTCCCACGTCTCTCTCCCCTTGGCTCATTCAGGAGTCCTCTCCCTCGCTACATGTGCTGCTCCAACCACTGGTCACTACAGCCGCGGCCTTCATTCTCGCAAGGAACTCCATCCACTTCTAAAACCAGTTACGACGAGAAACAGAGATTGAAAAAGAGGAGCCAGAAGTGGATGTAGGAGCTCTAAGTTGACACGTATTAGTGACAGAGTGCACGTGATGTCTCCCCTGCCCTACGTCCTGGTCCTGATCCACCTTACTATTGTGGTTGTGTTCATTTTACCGCACCACCAGCTGCACCATCATCGCTAGCAGATTGCTGTCCCTCAGCCTTACACTACACCCCCATCATTACCCCCTTCCCTCTCCACCCCACCCTTATGTCTTTATCTCCCCCACCTCCCCACCCTGCCTCCTACCTCCCCACCTCTCCCCAGCACTTACCCTGCGTGACCCTGCCTCCTCTACTCGCTTAATTTCCGGTCCCTTAGAGAGCCGGAAGTGCCTGAGGGAGGTTGGGCCATCAGGTAGTCTCGGTAGAGTCCCTGGCACTATGTGGCTCTTGGCACAATGGTGGTGGTGGGCCGACGGTGGTGGTGGCGGGACAAGAGGTGGCGGCGGCTGTAGACTGGTGGGGCCAAACCCACCACAAGTGATGGATTACGTTCATGACTAGCAGCTGTGAATGTGTATTGTATAGTGAAGGCGGTGAGGCGCCAGGCGGGAACCACCATAACCTAATCAGTCCGCGTCGCCTCAGCCAGATACCTGGTTGATACCTGGTTGATACCTGGTTGATAACTGGTTGAAGGGGTTCTGGGAGTTTTTCTACTCCCCAAGCCGGCCCGAGGCCAGGCTCGACTTGTGAGAAAATTCCAGGGCCTGTCCGGGAGATACTTCCCAGACTCACCATAAAAGTTAGCTGAAATTTGATATCGACAATTCGTGTCGGCGGAGGCTTAGAGCACAGCCAGGCAACCAAGCGAACACAGCCCACTGACTAAGTGGTTTAGCAAACATTAACCCCAGTGATCACGAATGACCCAAGAGTCCAATAGTGAAACATGGGTTTACAAACCCCAAGAGTTATACGCATGTAGTTAGGGGCATGCAGAAGCCAAAAAAAATTCTCAGTGTACCCAAAATTTGGCTGTGTAGGCTACTAAACATATGGCCCTGTATGACTAACCATCCTGCGAGATGGGGACTTGTATTACCACTGCTACCTTATTCAATCTTGTGTTGATGATATCCTCAAAATGCTTCTGGAGTCTGCCAGTGCAGACTGCCTATCACATGCCTCTGTATGACTAACCATCCTGTGTGATCGGGATATTTTAGCATCAAGTAGCTATCTTTTTGACACACTGTACTCCACTTCATATAGTCTAAGGTAGCTGCACAAATGCAGATGTACCTAATATGTTAATACAAAAAAATATTTTAATAATAGCAACTCTGAAGTGGATACCCTCTCACACAATTATAACCGGTCATGAGGACACAGACAGTGCAGCCAAATTAGCATGTAAGAAGATTGAAGTTGAAGTAGACTTAAGTATCCCCATCTGTTGTTAAGACTATTGTTACAAACAATCAAGTCTGATAGATAAATTACTGACTACGAAAGGCAAGAAAGCACAGGTATAAATCTATGATGTGTTTAGATCACAAACCTATGTATATGGTCAGCACAAAACGTGGACTAGACTGTGCAACACAGTGGTTGCCAGGATCAGGTTGGGTTACCTGTGGCAGGTGGCTACCGGTGACGGATCTCCCAATCCTGAGCACTCCAGGTGCAATCATTGTGAACTAGGTCACGATCTTACACACTCCATCACCCAATGACCAGTTACTAGTTCCTTCAAACCAGCCGGTATGAATAACGTGTTGATATCCTCATAATGCACCCACCACTTGCTACTGGTGTGCGACTAACCATCTTGTGTGATGGGATCATGTTTAGCATCACGTAGCTAGTGTTGGATGCACAACATATTACAAAAATATATAAGTGAACGTACGAATGTGGAATGTGAACAGTGTGTGTGGAGAGAGAGAGAGAGAGAGAGAGAGAGAGAGAGAGAGAGAGAGAGAGAGAGAGAGAGAGAGAGAAAACAAGGTTTATTTCAAACAGCCACGTCAAGAATCCTCCCCCCCCCTCCCACAGATACAATCAGGTGAGTACAATGACCTTACCGCATCAAGTCACCTCAACACCACCCCCCCACCACACAACACTGGCGCAGTGGTAGCATGTCTCTCCCACGCCTCGCCAACGATTACCCCCGGGTTCGACCCCACGCTGGACAGAAAAGGTTCACAATACCCCTATCATTAACGTTTCCCCAATGTATCCACCCTACAGCAGTCAGAGACCCGGTTGTAAAGTGACTGATGGATCGTGTTCCAGGGTAAACAAGAGAGACCAATGCGGTCCTTCGAGAAGAAAGATCACACGCTTCCTAACGTCTTAGTAACCCAAGATTTCCACCCCCGGCAAATGACCCCCTTCTTTACGAGGCCGCAGTTAATAACTGCATCTGCAATCACTCCAAATTGCCCGGCCCTCAGAGATAGCCATCACCACCGCTGAAGGAGCCGCAGAGTGCAGGGAGTGTCACTGGGGCTCAATCATGGCATGACACACACGCCACACCCTGTGTCACGCCACGCCCTGTATGTGTCACGCCACGCCCTGTATGTGTCACGCCACGCCCTGTATGTGTCACGCCACGCCCTGTATGTGTCACGCCACGCCCTGTATGTCACGCCACGCCCTGTATGTGTCACGCCACGCCCTGTATGTCACGCCACGCCCTGTATATGTCACGCCACGCCCTGTATGTCACGCCACGCCCTGTATGTCACGCCACGCCCTGTATGTGTCACGCCACGCCCTGTATGTCACGCCACGCCCTGTATGTCACGCCACACCCTGTATGTGTCACGCCACGCCCTGTATGTGTCACGCCACACCCTGTATGTGTCACGCCACGCCCTGTATGTCACGCCACGCCCTGTATGTGTCACGCCACGCCCTGTATGTGTCACGCCACGCCCTGTATGTGTCACGCCACGCCCTGTATGTGTCACGCCACGCCCTGTATGTCACGCCACGCCCTGTATGTCACGCCACGCCCTGTATATGTCACGCCACGCCCTGTATGTCACGCCACGCCCTGTATGTCACGCCACGCCCTGTATGTGTCACGCCACGCCCTGTATGTCACGCCACGCCCTGTATGTCACGCCACGCCCTGTATGTGTCACGCCACGCCCTGTATGTCACGCCACGCCCTGTATGTGTCACGCCACGCCCTGTATGTGTCACGCCACGCCCTGTATGTGTCACGCCACGCCCTGTATGTGTCACGCCACGCCCTGTATGTGTCACGCCACGCCCTGTATGTGTCACGCCACGCCCTGTATGTCACGCCACGCCCTGTATGTGTCACGCCACGCCCTGTATGTCACGCCACGCCCTGTATGTGTCACGCCACGCCCTGTATGTGTCACGCCACGCCCTGTATGTCACGCCACGCCCTGTATGTCACGCCACGCCCTGTATATGTCACGCCACGCCCTGTATGTCACGCCACGCCCTGTATGTCACGCCACGCCCTGTATGTGTCACGCCACGCCCTGTATGTCACGCCACGCCCTGTATGTCACGCCACGCCCTGTATGTGTCACGCCACGCCCTGTATGTGTCACGCCACGCCCTGTATATGTCACGCCACGCCCTGTATATGTCACGCCACGCCCTGTATATGTCACGCCACGCCACGCCCTGTATGTGTCACGCCACGCCTTTTGTGTGTCACGCCACGCCCTGTATGTGTCACGCCACACCCTGTGTGTGTCACGCCACGCCCTGTATATGTCACGCCACGCCCTGTATATGTCACGCCACGCCCTGTATATGTCACGCCACGCCCTGTATATGTCACGCCACGCCCTGTATATGTCACGCCACGCCCTGTATATGTCACGCCACGCCCTGTATGTGTCACGCCACGCCCTGTATGTCACGCCACGCCCTGTATGTCACGCCACACCCTGTATGTGTCACGCCACGCCCTGTATGTGTCACGCCACACCCTGTATATGTCACGCCACGCCCTGTATATGTCACGCCACGCCCTGTATATGTGACGCCACACCCTGTATATGTCACGCCACGCCTTGTTATTCAAAGGCACATCAGTCAGCTATGATGCAGGGGGTCTGGAGGCATATTAATAATATAGTGTGTGTGTGTGTGTGTGTGTGTGTGTGTGTGTGTGTGTGTGTGTGTGTGTGTGTGTGTGTGTGTGACAGGTGAGGAAGGGTGCCCCCCCGTGAAGACGTGTCCCGGAAGAGGACCATAATCTTGAGGTGACCTCAGGTTCCTCACGCCTCGCTCAGGGAGGCCTGCCAGGTGTGGTCAATTACTCTTCATCACCTGCGCTTACCATTATTCATGTCACTCCTCAATTTGGACTTGATGACGCTGGCCCAATTGCTGTATACCTGCGGATGTTTTCAGCTAGAGAGGAGAGAGGGAGAGAGAGAGAGAGAGAGAGAGAGAGAGAGAGAGAGAGAGAGAGAGAGAGAGAGAGAGAGAGAGAGAGAGAGAGAGAGAGAGAGAGAGACAGACAGAGAATGTACTGTATGTACCTGCAGGATAGAGCTGTTTGCTCTTTGACGCTGCCTTTCTAACCGTCATTTGTCTAATGTACAATGTGAATGAAACTGCCCATTTGTTTGACTCGATCGGGAATCGAACCCGAGTCCGTTGATTCCAATTCGAGAACACACACACTCAGTGTGTGTGTGTGTGTGTGTGTGTGTGTGTGTGTGTGTGTGTGTGTGTGTGTGTGTGTGTGTGTGTGTGTGTGTGTGTGTGTGGGTGTGTGGTGCGGGGCCTGGAGCAACGGTCGGGAAATAGGATTACAGTTTTGTATATCTGATAAGTGGAAACCCGTTGACGGTGTGATAGCGCCACACTGGAGTATGTGTCCCTCTCTCTCTATTTGCTGCAGTTTGGTTGGGCGCCGGAGTGCTGTGTATTGTCCAGAGTAATACGCATGCGCTCTCTCCCCAGGACTCTAATTGCTGTCACTACCAGCAGCAAACTGCCTCACGCACCAGGCATCAAAGACGAGCTGTTACAACCACTGTCTCTAATGGGTTGTCGAGGCAGCAAGTGCCCCCCACATTCCGAACACTGGTCAAATGTTCGTTTATCCGGCCATTGCTCCCGTTTATCAATGAAGTAAACACACACCACCTATCATCAAGGTAGGTTCGTTCAAGCTGCGGCCATCTCCAAAGCTGCTCTCGTTAATTTAAGACATTGTGTATTCAATATCTGTATTTTAAATATAGAGTATATTATAAGTTCGTGTATGGTTAGGTTGAGGCTAGGGGGGAGGGGGTTAGGCTCTGTTTGGCTCTGTATCTTCAGTACGTGGGTGAAGCACTCACAGAGTGGCGATTTAAACATAGAAAGAGAGCGAAGCGAAGTTGGAGAAAACTCGTAGGCAAGAGAAAAATAAATAAAGCAAGAGAGAGAGGGAACAGAGAAACACGGTATGAAGAGCTCGAGTAAAAAAAACGTATGTCAGAAAATCATGGGAATGAACAAGCACACTGCAAAGTGCAAACAAAAAAAATAAATAAATAAAATAAATAACAGCAAACCTGAAAACAAAACGTGATGGATGGGCTTGGCTGCAGGTGTGTGGCAGTACACACACACACACACATGCTGCATAGCAACGAAACCACAGCACACACTAGAGAACACACAGCAACAACAACTCGACTGGAAACCCCATAACATACTGGATAACATTCATCAGACTCATCACACACCTGACTGGAAACCCCATAACATACTGGATAACATTCATCAGACTCATCACACACCTGACTGGAAACCCCATAACATACTGGATAACATTCATCAGACTCATCACACACCTGACTGGAAACCCCATAACATACTGGATAACATTCATCAGACTCATCACACACCTGAATGGAAAGCGCCAGATATACGGGAGACTCCCAACATCAACTGGAAACTAAAAGACATGCTAGTTAGCAGCAATAACACGACTGGAACTCACATAACTGGCTGGAACGTTGCAAGAATCACTGGAAGCCTTCCCCATCCCACCAAAACCAATGTAAATAACATTCCAGGAACACTATAATATTTTTAAGGCGTTATCGCCAAGATCAACATACCTGGTGGTGGCTGGTCTGCAGTGGTGATCTATGAAGCTGTTGTTGTTGGTGCTTGCTGGTGCGGGCGGTCACGGGCAGGTGTGGCATGGGCGCCCGGCACTGTGACCACAGTAGGACGGTGGTGAGCAGCACGCCCACACTCCCGCCCACCAGCACCCCCCGCACCGTCACCCGCATCTTCACGCCCGTCTTCACGCCCGTCTCAGGCCGCCACGCTCACCTGCTGCAGCGAGACCTTCCTGGGGCTTGAGGCCTGCGAGGGACGGTTGAGGGCACGACGAAGTGCTCCACCATGCCCACGGCTTGGTCCTGTGGTGGGGTATCCTGGTGGTGGGTCGCCCCGGTGGTGAACGCTGCTGGTGGTGCAGGATGGTGAGGTGATGGTGCGGCTCAATGGTGCTCCCTTCAACACAACCTACAAGGGAAAAAATGGTATTTGTAACGACGTAAACAGGTTGTAGCAGCCGAGATGTCAAGCTGATCTGACTCAGACTAAGCCAGCCTTGTCTAAGACACCACAAGCCACACGGTTAGGTAAGTTAATCAGCCACCTGATGCTCGCTTGTCTCAGTTGTCAGCCAATATAAGCTCAAACAATCCATTCGCCAACATATACACAAGGAAAGTGAATTAAATAAGGGACGTGAGAAAGTATAAACTCCCTGTCACTCTCTGTCTCCGTCTCCGCCACACACAGTATAAGGTGAGCCAAGAGGCAAGGCTTAGAATTCATCAGGTAGAATGGTTCCTTGAGTAAATGTTGTCACTCCCAGAATAGCCTTAGAGCCTCACCTTCCCATGGCCATGGGAGAAATCCTCAAGTCACTCTCCCAGACACATGGGATCGTCTGTCATCAGGTCAGGATGACACGGAAGATCCACTTACGATCTAGGAGACAAGATCAAATCGTACAAAATTTTACTGACAAAAGCAGAGAGCTAAGGTGGACACCGTAAAGTTGTCAACGTAGAGTCCTGGTGAACCCTGGCGTCTGGATGTAGCGGGAGATTCGCCCGCCAACTGACATGAACACGTACACTCTCCCACCCACGTCCTCCGAGAAGCGCTGGAATCGATATCTAAACCAGTCGCTGGAATACTGGAAAGCCATCGAGAAGTGATATTCAGAGCAAGATAACCATAAGTCGGTGGCAAAAGAGAGAGAGAGTGGTTGGGTGGTGGGGGAGACGGAGACTCCAGTAGGTGTGAGAGTTGGATGAAGTATTATTGTGGCTGTAAAATTCCCGAAACTCTGCCTTTTTCCCCCCTTTTTTCCCGAATTCTTTCTTGTATTATTGCTTCTCCACTTTACCTATCTTCATCTATCCCTCCTAGCCATAGCAAAGGCTAGTCAGACCCTCCCACGACGAAAAGGCTAGTCTATACCTCCACCACCACGACGAAAAGGCTAGTCTATACCTCCCCCTCCCACGACGAAAAGGCTAGTCTGACCCTTCCCCTCCCACGACGAAAAGGCTAGTCTGACCCTCCCCTTCCACGACGAAAAGGCTAGTCTGACCCTCCCCTTCCACGACGAAAAGGCTAGTCTGACCCTCCCCTTCCACGACGAAAAGGCTAGTCTGACCCTCCCCTTCCACGACGAAAAGACTAGTCTGACCCTCCCCTTCCACGACGAAAAGGCTAGTCTGACCCTCCCCTCCCACGACGAAAAGGCTAGTCTGACCCTCCCCTTCCACGACGAAAAGGCTAGTCTGACCCTCCCCTTCCACGACGAAAGACTAGTCTGACCCTCCCCTTCCACGACGAAAAGACTAGTCTGACCCTCCCCCCCCCACGACGAAAAGGCTAGTCTATACCTCCACCACCGCCACCAGCGGCATCATACTAAACAGGGTAAGAGCATGGAAGGGGAACGTGTCTAAGGATATAGCAAAGGGTCCGTGGATCCCCCAGCAGCTCCGTGGATCTCCCCGAGCGGGTTCGAGGATTTGCGAGCGTGTCTGAGAATCTGCGAGACTATTTGAGTATGTTAATCAGCTAATAACAAGCGAGGCTGACAGACCTGAACCCATTTAGCCTTGACCTTCTCCCAAATAATCAGCATACATAATTAGGTTTAATTTGTGGCACTGTTTTCAGAGTCGCCAGTGAAATAAAACTGTCCATTGACACACACACACACACACACACACCACCACATCACACACCACCACACATCACACACACACACACACACGCCACACATACCACACCACACCACACACACGCTTCAGTACTCCTGAAGAGCGCTTCGCTGGAGTTTTGTGGAGTATCCCACTTTGCTACTTACAGTGGCAAGTATAGCTATCCCCACTTGCCACTTGTTCTATATATACATATACTGTATATGCACCGTATACAGTACAGTGATTATTCCCTTACAGTGACTTAACCTGTCTTAAAGCTCTTTACCCCAGGGCACAGTCCTTCAACCAAAGCTTTTCTCATTCTCATATGAGATATAGACAAAAATAAAAATCACAGCTTTTTACTCTAAGATAAAAGAAAATCAGCACGAAAATTACTTCTGAAGAAGACTGTAAAACTACAAGCCGATAACAATAAAGTTTTCAATTGTGTGATAGGAAATAACATGAGCTTTAACATGGATAAATTACAGGTGCTGTGTTTCAGGCATGACAGAACTGAAGACCTTTAAGGAAATACAGGGTACAAGGCACAGTCAGACATTACCCACAGAAGGACAACAACCTGGAGAAGCTCTGGGAATAATGATGTCTGACGACCTGACATTTAGTGAACATAAGTTAACACATAGAGCGTCAGACAGGCGGGACCAAAGAGCCAAAGCTCAACCCCCGCAAGCACAATTAGGTGAGTACAGCACAAATGATAGGATGGATTATGAGAACGATCAAATCTAGGAATTCCGCCACAATGGTAATACTGTTTAAATCACTTGAGTACTATTCGATCCCCCTCCCCTCCCCCCCTTTCTCCTTCAGAGCAAGAGAGAATGCTGAAATAGAAGGAATACAGAGAACATATACGGCACCCATAGTCGCGATAAAGCACCTAAACTATTGGGACCGTCTCAAAGCTCTCAAAATGTACTCTCTTGTTCAAAGGAGACGAGGAATCAAATTTATATCTACAAGAGTGTCTGTTCAAAGATATCTATATACTAATAGGCAAAAGAAACTCTGCCTAATCTGTTTCTCCCTCATCGGGAAATGAACCCAAGTTCGTGACTACGACTCCAGAACACTGTCCGCTCGGCCGTGAGATCCTCCACATCTCTTTCTCTCTCTCAACACTAAAATCTTAGTACAAAAAATTAAAAAAGAAATAGCAATGACAAGCAACAAAGCCAATCACCAAAGAAAATGAGAATAATGAGGCGCGGTTGTCGCTGTTGTGGGCGGGAGGGCGGGAGGAGGAGGAGGGGGGACTGATGTGTTTTGTTGCGACTCCATTAAACAAATGAAGTCCGGGACGCACACAACTCACCCCCCTGATAAAACGCTATCGACGCCTTCCACCACCTTAATTACTGCTCCGATAATAGCCCCCCCTGGTCTAGAAAGTTTATCGTCACCGTCTTGGGAGAATGGAGATGCGAGGAGGGAGATCGAGGGGGGACAGAAGAAAAAAAACAGATCTTAGCAGACGGCTTGGCACGAAGAACGAACTAATCCCATTGTCCAGCGATTGAGTGATGGCTGGCGCCCCCTCCGCGGGGACGCTGGTTCGATACCCGGTCTTTGTATCCCTCTCCTTCATGGTAATTTCCGTGTGTGTCTGTGTGCTGTCCCAGATTCTTGTTTTCAAAAGGTCGCTTTTTACTGAAAAAAATAATTCATACTCGTTCCTCGGGTTAAATTGTGGATTTTGTGTGTGTGTGTGCGTGTGTGTGTGTGTGTGTGTGTGTGTGTGTGTGTGTGTGTGTGTGTGTGTGTGTGTGTGTGTGTGTGTGTGTGTGTGTGTGTAATTACCTAAGTGTAGTTACAGGATGAGAGCTACGCTCGTGGTGTCCCGTCTTCCCAGCACTCTTTGTCATATAACAGTTATTTCCCTATTTGCGCTTGCGGGATCGAGCCCGCGCTTCCAGTCTTCCATGTTAACTCCTGGTTAATATTGTCATGTTACTTTTCGTGTGTGTGTGTGTGTGTATGTGTGTGCTCTTTCGGCCCGCCTCTCAACTGTCAACCAACTGTTTACTAACTATTTTTTTCACACCACACACACACACACCACAGGAAGCAGCCCGTGACAGCTGACTAACTCCCAGGTACCTATTTACTGCTAGGTAACAGGGGCACTCAGGGTGAAAGAAACTTTGCCCATTTGTTTCTGCCTCGTGTGGGAATCGAACCCGCGCCACAAAATTACGAGTCCTGCGCGCTATCCACCAGGCTACCAGGCCCCATGTGTGTGTGTGTGCGTGTGCGTGTGTGTGTGTGTGTGTGTGTGTGTGTGTGTGTGTGTGTGTGTGTGTGTGTGTGTGTGTGTTTTCAGGTGGATATCTTAAGGTCACACAACACGTAGGATTAGAGTATGGATTTTGGTACAGTGAATGGGTAATGGACCAATTACTTAGGCAGTTCCATCATCGCTGTAGTAAACTAATCTGTAGATTGGTTTCAGGACGATTGGTTTCAGGACGATTGGTTTCAGGACGATTGGTTTCAGGACGATTGGTTTCAGGACGATTGGTTTCAGGACGATTGGTTTCAGGTCAAACAACTGATGCCAGCACAGATTGCAGCCTTGACAAGACAAGTTGAGAACTAGTTTAAATATCTTTGCCTAGACCAGAAGAAGCAGTTGCCCCCCCCCCCCCTGGACTCTCAGATTGGACTGGTGATAGACCAGTCCCGAACCCGGTCACAGAACCAGACAGGTGGTAGAACCAGTCGGTGTGTATCGATCCAAGACCAGTGCTTCTATTTTTGAGGAACTGTATGGAGGACCCTTGTCGCTCTCTCTCTCTCTCTCTCTCTCTCTCTCTCTCTCTCTCTCTCTCTCTCTCTCTCTCTCTCTCTCTCTCTCTCTCTCTCTCTCTCTCTCTCCTCTCCTCTGTCTGTCTGTCTCTCTCTGTCTCTCTCTGTCTGTCTGTCTGTCTGTCTGTCTCTCTCTCTCTCTCTCTCTCTCTCCTCTCTCTCTCTCTCTCTCTCTCTCCCTCTCGGTCTCTCCTCTCTCTCGTCTCTCCCTCCTCTCTCTCTCCTCTCCCTCTCTGTCCTTCTCTCTCTCTCTCTCTCTCTCTCTACCTCTCCTCTCTCATCTCTCCTCTCTTTCTCCTCTCTCTCTCTCTCTCTCCTCTCTCTCTCTCTCTCTCCTCTCTCTCTCTCTCTCTCCTTCCTTCTCTTCTTCCTACTGTCTTTTGTTCTCGTCCTCTTCATTCCTCCCTTCTCTTTCTCAGACTTCTCATTCCCCCCCTTGTTTTTCTCTGC